GATTTATGTTATAAACAGATTATGTTATGCATGATCTTGTACATATGTAGGTGAGTGTTATGTTTTGGTTTAACATGTTATGGATCTCTAATGAGAATGGTGGACCTCTATGCAGTAGAGATGCACTAAGACTAACTTCATTACTAGAGTGTGAGTACATGCACACTTGTGGACAGTGGACTCCACAGCCATTTAGTTTATACTTATTGATTGTTTTTGGTGTTTATGTGTGCACTCTTTTTGTCTAAGTCTCATTTATATTAAGACTAATCCTGCATGCTATAGCTAATTATAAAATGCATGATAACCTATTATGTTGATGTACACCATGTCATGTTTAACTTCTGCTTATGCCTAATTTTGTTATGAAATGCTTATGCTAACAGTCATGACTTGATCTGTACATTGCTAATTATCTTAATTATGTGTAAGAGAAATCTGTCATGAGCATTTCTATTCCTCGGTTGTTTTTAGCATGTATTAAAATTGACTAATAACTATATAATTTTAATGGCTCAGTTATAGCTTGAAGCCAAGCTCATTGTTGTGTACACCATCTCATTTCAGACTAGCTACCTTAAGAGGTGTGTCAAGTGTAGCTGACATCGATCCTACTACTGCAGATTAGTAATGCAAACCTGTATATTTACCAAACCTAGAATTTGGATCCATTATTTTGTAGGCCTTTTGTATTTAATCAAGCTTTACCATATCTGTTTGTAAACTCATTATGCTCATCTACTTTCCAGCTACATGTAGTCTTTTGTTAAACCTTTGTTTGATGGTGAAACTTATTAGCTATTTCAGTCATGTACAAGCCAGCTTAACTAGATTGTTTTCTCTTTCAAGAACTTACATACAAATATTTATAGCTACATGTGATTCCAAACTCATGCTGTACAGCTTTAGCTTATCTAATTACTGTTATTCCAGCACAAAGCTTTTCCAATGTAGTGTGTACTACTCTGATTTCAAATGCTAATATCTACCATACCAAATTTTGCTGTAAGTGCTGTATGAATGCTAGCTGCCCTGTTTTTACCAAATTACTAGTGTTAACTAAGGCTTTGCAAGGTCATTTTAAAAATCTTCCTTACTTAAGTTACAAAACATTCTGATGGAATTTTACATCCATTTTGATTGTATATATGTGTGCTGAGGTTTCATTTGTCAAACTCATGGCATAAGGACAACTAATTACTAAAGGGTGAGTGCTTAAACAAGTATCACAAAATATGCATTTCTCCAATAGACTAAATTCATCAAACAATAGAGTATTTATTAACTATTACCTATGTCAATGTCCATAATCTTTTCGCAGTTTCAATGCATTCCTATAGAGTTATATATTGAGATTGAGATAGAAAAAACATCCAAAGTCGTCATAAGCAGAGTTGACAAGTTAAGCACCATATAAATAGCAATAAATTGAATCAACTAAAGCACCATATATAAAGCACTCTTTGCTCGTTGAAGACTTATACAAGGAATTGGACATTAATTCTCCCAAATCCCAATCAAAGCAATAACACAATAAAGAGCATCCCCAAAAAAGAGAGGCTCAACTCAAGATCACTCCTTTAATTTAATGTTTCGAGATAACAAAATTAAATTCTTCCACATATTAGACATTCTTATTTACTACTCTACAATTAATTAGTACAGTGCATATGAAAAATGAAAACAACAGGACATTAATTTATTTACCGTCTTTCTGGCCCGATACTCTCTATCCTTTCTATTTTTCTCCTCCCTCTTTTTCTTCTCTTCTTCTTCAGACAGTGGCGGCCCTGGTGGACGCCCTGGTCGTCGTCTGTTTTCTGCTTCATTGGCTCCAGTCCTTTTCTGCTTTCCTCCCTTTGCCATTAATTCTTCCTTGTGACAGAGACAACATAAGTAAATTACTAATTATAATTAAACAAGTGATACTTAAGCAGATCCAAGCCTTCCTTTGCTGATAAATAGAAAATTAAGAAAAACAATACAGTAGAATAATAGAAGAAATGACAGAGAAAATTATGAAAACAACAAATTAAGCATGTGTGTTGATGAAAAGATTGATAGCTTACACACCTGAATCTCCACCAAGATTTATATGAAAAGATGGAAAGATTCGCAGCGGAGCACGTCTTAACTGAACGCAACTTATCCGATAGGATCGATCGATCTGAAAGAGGTAAATGCCATCTAATTGCTTGATGAATTTTATAGGAGAAAACCTTCATAGAAGTAAATATTTCGCTCGAGACAATATAAGATT